TTAAGATAAACTCCACATCCTGCCCATTCATAGATTCCCGTTCGTGTGACTTACGTGATGCTGTTCTGGTGCAGTGTGTCCAGGGCAGTGTTGCGGTCCTCGGAGGTGGCTCTCTTGTCCATGTTCCTGAAGCGCTCCATGGCGGAGATGTTCCTCTGGATGCTCTGCTTGGGTAGGTCGAGCTTTGACACAAATGTCAGCGCTCCACCATCGTCGCACCGGAACAGCATGGGGCAACAGTCGTGGCCCTGAAGACGCACACAACAGATCTACATTCCTTACCGTATACTTGGACATAGACATATGTAGTAACTGTTGTATTCTTACCGCAGCTACTAGACTGTTCTCTGAAACAAAAATGACACTGAGGAGAGGAAGGAAGTCCGTCTTCAGCTGTGAAGGACTAAACACACAAATGAATTAGCATCTTGAGAATCAGATGGTTTTACTGTACTTTAAAAAGATTACACAGGCAGTATAACTACAAACTATTTCAAAATTGATGTGTTGTCACAGAAATAACTGGGCTGCCTACGCTGCAGTGCGTGCAGGTTTCCAGGGAGAACGTGTTGAGTTCTTTGGCACAGTCTCAATCCCCGCCCTGTCTATTCATGTCTCCGGCAATTTGTCGACACCAGCATGTCATTATGTTCGTGTGGAAGAAATAAAAGCATATATTGTAGTATAGTAACTAATACTTGACTAATCTTGCCATCTTATATCATGTAGTTGACAAATTAATTCAAGGTTTTGTTTATCTCACAAACACTGTGCCATCAAAGGCAGTGTAATGCCAGTAAACATTGAATATACCTGGCAGTCTTAGAGCTGTCCACCACAGTGACAGTGCTGTCATGGCTGACCCAGGCCAGGCGGTTACCAGACGCTGAGAAAGAGACAGAGTGGACCCAACCCCCTCCACCTAACACACACAAAGAGGAAGATCTTGTTTAGTTCAATGGATTACTTCCAGTCGTATGAAAAGGCTTTTGTTATTATCACATATAAAAAGGCACAGATACAGACCCGCTCCTCCAAATTCTGCGAGCACAGCTCCAAATGGCATCTTGCTGCCCCAGGGTGTGGGGCCTGGTTTCTCTTCCACCTCCTTAATGTAGGCTGAGAACACCCTGGAGGCCAGAGAGGGAGGGGGAGGGGGAGGGGGAGGGGGGGGGGAGAGAAAGCAATAAAAAAAGACCAGAAAGCAAAAGAGTGAGTGAGGACGTTGGCAGGCTTCTCATCATTTAAGCGTCGTCTCTTGTCCCACAACTCGTTTCACTGTTAACGACATTCACCTGCATTTGAAGTCACAGGATCCAGCAGCCAGCAGGATGTTGTTGGGATGCCAGTCCAGACTGAGGACGGTGGAGCGTACCGGCTTCTTGATGTGCTTGCTCACCCACCTGGAGTATTAGAAAAAGCACAGATATCTTAAAATATGAATGAACACAGCACTTCTATCTAATAATTATGTATAAATTCAATGATTCAATCAATTAATCCGATATACTAATGTTATTTTTTCAAATGTGAACAATTTGTGAGTGTAGTTCAGCAAAACTAAGCTGTTTGTTTTATTGTCGGCTGTCAATTTAACACAACACATCGAGTTGTGCAAAAAATAAAATAAATGAAGATTGAGAATCAAGCAGCCCTGGTTTGAGAGACGAAGAGACTTTGTACGCCTGGAAAAACTGAATCAATGAGCAGTGTAACAGAAGAGACTGGAGCAGTGCTGAGAATAAGAGAACCTTTCAAGCCTGGGACTGGATCTTTATCAGTCTTTTGGAAAATACAGAACTTTGGTTTTCAACCAGGTGACAACAAACAGGTATACATTTAGTTTAAATCAGGCGTTGTGACGAAAACGCTAATCCTCCCATTCATGTGAATGTTGGTAGTGCTTTTTAAGCTGCGACGGTGGGGACCACAGAGGATGCCGAAGAAAAAATAAAAAGCTGTGGAAAATCACTTAACCAAGAACCCTGCAGTGAGGGAGTACAAAGACATTCATCATCACACAGCCATTAAATGGGCCATACAAGCAACATTCGCACGCCACAGCACAACCCTGCACTAATAGTGCAACAGTGAATGCATTTATTTTTACAGAATAAATAAATAAATAACACAATCTAACTGCAATACTGCCCTCAGAAAAGTGACAACACACTACATGTTAGAGTGCAAAAAATAACTCATACTCCCAAATCAAAACATGGTTAACCAATCAGAAATATCAATTTGCCGGTAATCTTGTGTCAAAAAATGTAATGGTTGTACAAATAGTCTCACCAGTCATTCTCAGACTCAAAGTAGCAGACGGAGATGAGTCGAGCACCACTTCCAACTGCAAACTTGTTCTCCAGTGGAGACCACTTGACGAAGGTGGCGGCTCGGTTGATCCTGAGGATGACCAGCGTGGGCTTCCATACCCCTTCCTTCTGGGACCACACATAGGCGTTACGGTCCGCTCCACATGTCACTATACGGTCACTTTTGGGAGCCCAGTCAATACCTACAACACAACGCAGAGAGATGCAATAGCTGACTGACTGACGCAACAATCATGAAGTGAATTACGACGGCACATTCTAGAGCTGAATAAGCTTTAACACAGATTGAGCAGTCAGAGTCTGTGTCGACATGAGCTGATGACAGTTCCAGTCACACTTGTTCAATTGTTTTTGTCATAGAAATACCTGTTATGTGTCCATTGTGCTCCTTCAATTCATGAGTCTTAACCCACTGGTTGCCACTCTTTTTGTAGATGTGGACTTCATGGTTATTTGGACTGATGGCAATTTCTGCAGAAAAAAACAAAACAATAAAAACAAAAACAACAGGATGCAAGTACAGATAACAAACATGCTGAACCAGTTTCTGCTATCTGCCAAATACCAAACTGGACTAACTACTTGTACAAGTTCACAAATCCTGAAAACAAACAGTGGAACAATAATGTTTTTGTGGCTGAAGTTGCACTCCTGTTCACTTAAACATGCCATTGTCATTTGTTTTCAAACGCATAACCTGTAACTCGATGTCTTAACTGGTATGTAGTGTACAAGCTGGTGATGGTATTCTCAAATAAATGAGGGCACTGTTGAGCCTTACGTGTCCTATCCCGGTTCCACGCGTGGCAGGTGATGGGTTCCAACAGAAACTGATGAAGGGACATCTTGTCTGGGTGTGGTCCTCAAGTAGAACTCTGCGAAGTCACACAGCAAAACTTAGTTTAGCAACAAGCGACACACACACACATACCCTGTGAGCTGAGCTGAACTCTCACTCCACCAGCTTTAAAGCCCCACAGATGACAGCATATATAACAACTGTTAACAACATTGCAACGTTACTCGACTACCATTAGTTAACTTGGGTACATTAACTAAACCCAATCAGTCAAAACATTGAAAGGCTCATTCAATTAACGTTAGCTAATAATAACGTTAGCTTGGTTATATATTTTAAGCTAACAGCTGATATTCACCATAGTCTCACATTTTAGTACCATGACATGCGAAGTTGAACACTTTTACGAGCTGAAATGGACTTTCTTTGCTAGCTACTGTCATATTGCTGACTGGGTTTGTTGCCTCGCTCGGTTAATCGTTAACAGCAAAACATTACTAGCAAGTTATCAAATTGCTAGCTTAGTGCCCACCGGTGTTAGATAGGCCTGGCAGCCAGATTGGTCATTTCTGGAAATATATCGACGTTTTGCTACCCAAACGCTTACCGGAGAGGCCTCCCTTTTCTATGTCGGACTTCGGGTTTTCCTTGGAGGAGATGCCTTTACTTTCAATGACAGCTAACACCATTAGCCGTACATTCCGCTAGCGGCGCATGCTAACTTACCTCGTCAGTCAGTTTCTGCACACTCTCGTTAGCCGGCAAGCTACGTTACGCTAGCGGGGAAAAGGTTAGATTAGGAATGGACCCGAATTCGTGGACTCTGGTCAGTCGACACGAATTCGTCCAGGAATGTTGAGGAAATGTCAAGACGGCCAGTAGGATACGACCGGGGTGCATCCGGCAGTTAAACTTGGCAGCAAAACCCGTTGGATGCCTGGCTGATAGCTAGCTTAGCCTCATCACGCTAGCTGTTACATTCAACTGAAGATCCTCGTTCACACCGACGTCTCACACTCACACGCTACGACGAGTGCGAAAGAGCGCCTCTAGTGGTTCAAATAGAAACATCCAAAGTGTCCGAACCAGTTACAAAACACCACCATCTAGTGTACGATGTAGACAAATACCCTATAAAATTCACAACTAGTATACACTGAGATAAGGGAAATAATTCCTTGATTCTCAGGGGGCCTGAAAGCCACATATTTGCCAATAAAAGTAAACAATATCAGATACGGGCATTAAGATTGAGCTTAAAGGGTGCATTGTGTCTAAATTAATATAAATCTGGAATTAAGTACCATTTCATCATGGAATACTGTACAAAATGCACAGAGGATGGGAGTAACAGGTGGTAAATATGGGCTCAGAATCGAATTTTTGCTCCAGGGCCCCCCGAGAAAGATAATCTAGCCATGTTCTTATCCTCTACATCCTGTGCTGGCGCCGGCTCAGTTCACAGCAGAAATGGAATCCACAAGTATTGTGACCGGGATGTGCAGTTATGTGTGTCCTGCTAATGAGAGTATGATCACTGCTTTATTATGGCAATATACTTATGGGTTGCTAGAGAGTTAGTTATGATGAACTTTAGGCCACTCCAACACACACACCTGAAATTCTATTTTATTAATTTGGCAACATGTAAACCTTTTAAAATTAAAGGAATTACAGGCGAGCAATCTCCATTTGATGTGCAGTAAACATAAGTTAAGGGAGCAATGTAGTGCAGCTTTTCAAACAATTACCTCCAATTCACTTCTGCCTCATTTTAAAATCATGCTGCTGTTGCCTTGTGGGTAATAGGTTCTCAAACCAATCAGAGGAGACTTCAATTAGTACCGCTCCATTGCACCTGGTATACCTACAAATGAACTGCTGCTGGCTGCTAACAAATTCAGATTGTCACTCGTTTTTCTGTTGTGTACATCATCAAATTGTTAAATGGAGTCATTAGCAACAGAGGATGAGCTTTTTCCTACACCTCCACTGTACTTCTTACCAGGTAAAATACTTTCTTAATTTACTTGATTTGAAATGTTTGAAAATATCAGTTTTCAAAGTTAAAAACAAAACGTGTGACTTTGTTTTTACAGGTGAAAGTCACAGTGGGCCAAGCGTGAGGTTCTACCATATTCACTCACCTTCCACGCCTCCACCACCTTCCTCCACCTTTTCTCCTGGAGTTGGCTGCACCACTGAAACTCACGCACCTCTAACAGGTTCATGCTCACTTCTCATCTGCCTCGATTTTGAATATATAGAATAGGCCGGAAGGTCACATTTTCTTTGTTCACAATTCAGCTATGTTCTTGCCTTTTAGACTCAGTTGAGTCGGGAAGTGTTTATTGAAGTGTCCGTTATTTGTGTTGCAAAGTGACTTATACATACTGATTTAATTCCACTGGTAGTTTTGATCCTTATATGCAATGCAAATAATGATGTACCACACATTTAAGAAGATATTATTAAATAACATTTTGAGCAAACTTTTTCTTTACACAAACTTTGCAAATCCTACTTCTCAAACAGCTCTGATCAGATAATGTTAAGGACCTATAGCGTGGCGAAAAGTTGAGAGAAAATCATTGTAATGGTAAAGTGCAATCTTGAAGATTTTCATTTATATAAATGTCTGTTGGGTTATATAATAAAACTGCATGTTGGTATGGAATTTCAGATGCAGCCAAAGACTCCAGACTGCTGAACTGTAAGCTAAAATCCTTTGTTTACTCTCATATAAAAATCAACCAGGACTGCAATTATAAGGATTGCCGCTTTAAATTTTGAAGATAAGCGTTCCTTTTCAACCCGCCATGTCTTCTCTAGTGTCTGCTTCCCCTCAATCGCCTGTCAGGCGGACGCGTGTGAGCTATGAAATGGAGCTGTTTTGCTATCCAGCTCTGACAACATGCCCTTCCTGTCAGACTCGGGTCACCACGCAGGTCACCTACAAAGTCGGGAGGTTCGCGTGGCTCATGTGTCTTGTGTTCGTGTTCTGCGGGTGAGAAAAGACAAATTCAAATGCCTAAATCTGGTCTGGCTCTAATTACCCAGCATCCATCAAAAGACGTAGACTGATGTTTAATTTCTGTCTCACAGGTTGGTGTTTGGATGCTGCCTGATTCCGTTTTTTGTGAACTATTTCAAGGACACCAGTCACACTTGTCCTCGCTGCAAACTCTTCCTCCATATGCACAGGAGGACATGCTGTGAATGAGCACACACACAAGATCAACAAGCAACAGGTTAATGTGTGTGTAAATCCATGCACAAGTCAGTCAGGATAACTTAAAATATATAGATGTATGTTTAATAAATAGGAAGAAGATATGTTGGTTCCTATAATGTTGAAATTAGAAATGTTTTAAAACTATATTTTACATCATGTTTCGTGACAAAATACTATCTAATAAAGGTTTTCTGTGGCAGTTTTTTCTCACATTTTCTGTCTTATAAAGAAGAGCACACAACAGAAAACAATGCTGAGCTTGGACACAAGCAGGTTGTGTATATTTTGATCCAAACAAATGACAGCAAAAAAAAAAACATTTGATAAAATTGAGAACCTAAAGATTTACTTACTAGATTTATCCATCTGCTGATAAAGACTAGGCGATGCAGTTGAATACTGGGAAAAGCTAGTAAGTAGACCTTGAGTTTATTTATTCAATCATTTGTCAAACTACTTTATTCAAGGACAATAATTCTTTCACAATTAAGTCTGACTTTGTTTCTATGGATTTAACCATTGGATTTAACGCTTGGTGCACAGAGCCCCACCTTATTCACTTAAGTTGTCATTACATCCTGTGTGGATTAAGCCTGCATGTGTACTTGCGCAGTATGTAGTAAACATGCCCTCACTGACATGACACCAGAGGATTAGAAGTGTGGGTTTATTTTAGATCATTGAGCCTCAGACTAATGAGCATTTGAGATGCAGCAAAACCCTTGATTCCCCCTAGTCTGAGGTCATACACGCCTTTTGCAGCACGCCTTGCCACGGACGTCATCTGTCCCAGCGTAGATGATCACTGGTGGATCCCAGCAGCAACACACTGACCGCTGATCCCTGCATGGCCGAGGATGCATCGGAGTATCTCTCCTCCCTCGGTCAATCTGTTTCCTCCTTAGTGCCCTCTTTTTTTCTCCTGGCCCTCTAACCGCAAAACTGAACTCTCCTATTTGATCCTGTGTGTTGCCAAAATGCCATTCATCCCACCTGTGTCGATTGCACGCTCTGTGTCAGGACTGACTGCTAAGGAGAGACCCATCGGCAACATTTCATCTGCAACTACTTTGACGAAGGTCCAAAGAGAAGACAAAGGCGGCTCAGTGAAGGAGGAACTGGCTTCAAACCTCAAGCAGCTGTGCAAGAAGAGCCAACCCAGGAGTCACCTGCCAACCGCCAAAGCGGTGTCAGCGGCAGAGCTGCATGCAAAGAGAAGGGAGCGACTGCTGCCTTCATCACAAACGGACAGCTTCCCAGCCTCCAGCTCGGGTGAGTCCCTGTCTAAGACACAGCAGCACAAACATGTGAGCCAGAGCTCTATAAAGAGTGAACGCGAGGTGAAGGCGAGGGCCAGGCATCAGGTCCGTTTCACACTGACTCTCGCACCTGAGGCCGTTCTGCTGCTGCAGAGGAGGAACAACGAGAGACGTCAACATTCAGCGTCCAGAAGCGGAGGAGGCGTTTCTGGAAGCGCCTTGGATTCCAGACACAGGAGAGAAAATGTCTCTAAAAGGCATCAAACGGCGACACAGAGACACAGCACGCCAAACAGCAGAGTCGCTGAACCGGGAGACATAACTTCAATTGTGAAAATCTCCCTTCTGAACGAGCAACACAAGTATGATGATGTGGAGTATGAGGAGGAGGACCGTGGTGTGGATGAGCATGTGGTGCTGAAATGTACAGAGTGGCTCCGTGGGTTAGAGAACACACCAGTGACAGTAGGACACAGCCTGAATAAGAGTGTTTCTAAAGGTGACATGAGAAGGGTTGCTAACTGAGGTTGTCATCTTCGTTTCTGTGCTGGCTAGTTGCTTTTTGAAGGTGTTGCAATAATTTAATTTAATGCAATAGTGCAGCCATAAAAAAAAAAAAAAATATGGAGTCTTTGGTTTGAATATTTTACTCAGTGTAAACATCAAATAGCTCCAATGAATACAACATGATACAGAATATATATATATAGTCATAAAGAGTGGAACATGATGAATTTCCAACCTTAAAGCTATCGGGAAATTGAGGGTTTGTTTTTGAAAGCTTTTCTATCATCTGTGAATCTTTTTCTAAGCCCTGTGATCTGTTTTATGTTAAGTTATCAGTATATTTTTAAGTTTGTTTGTAACAAAAACAATATTTAAAAAAAAAAAAAGACAATTCCTTCACTGTTTCTGTAAGGCACTAATAAAAAAGAGCTTTATGCATTAACTATACTTTTTAACCTGGAGAACTGAGAATTGTGATTATTTTAAAACAAAGGTTCCCAATGAAATCTAGAATCTGCACATTTTTTCTTTACTGTGGCTCACGTTGTCTCACTGCCCGTAAGAAGCTTTGTCAGGACTTAGATGTTGGCTTGGCTGTTGCTGTACATTCCCTCGTGCACAGACCGGGTGTGCTTAGCAGCGGCTTATCCACCTGGGAGTCAAATGTTACAATACGTGTGTTTGTTTATGTGTATATAAAGAGACAGTGCATGATTGATGGATACATAAACGGATGGAAATCATTTCCAGCGGTTTATTCGTCGCAGCTGTACGTAGGCCAGGATCATGGAGACCAATATGATTCCCAGCAGAGCCACCTGGTTCTGCCAGAAGCCCCACACAGAGTAGTCAATGTCTTGGCTTTTCAGAAACGCCTCCCCTGGGATACTGCAGCAACAGACAAAAGAGGCTCAGTATGTGTGTGTGTGTGTGTGTGTGTGTGTGTGGGGGGGGGGGTTATTGTGGTTAAAGGAGTGGCTGTGTTATCGCTCAACACTCACATGGTGGTGTTGCTGTAGAACAACTGTCCTGACATCTCGTTGATGAATGCAGCCTGAGAGAGACAGAAAAGGCATTGGGTTGAACATTCAACCCCGCTGATCTCATTCTCACAACCACACCCTTCTGCTCTTGATCTGCCTATTTTCCATCGCTTACATTCAGTCCATATCTGAAGATACTGAACCATTGCACCCAGGAGAGCCAGCTCAACATGGAATTGAGGTTGACAAGAAAACCACCAAAAACCTAAAAATAGGAAAATGAAGACGGAAAAGAGAGAATATTACACTTGTGAAAAATAACTCTTTTTACACATTATGATCTCAGCCATGTATATTTTGTGTGTGTGCCTCAACATCTCACCATCATGAAGACGAAGGGCAGAGCAATGAGGATGTTAGCCATGGCAAATGAAGAGACACTTGCTGAGACGAGGAAGGCCAGACCGACTCCTGCCAGACTGACCAGACACATGGTCAGGGCGAAACACATGAAGGCCTCAAAGGCAGGCTTCAATCCTGAAAGGGTGGCGGACAAATGTAAACAGGAAGACAGAAATGAGTATGAGAAAGGACATTTTATTAAAATCCAGAGTATTGCTTTTAGCAGGTTCCCTGTTGTGGGTCTTTAGACATGGCTGAAAGGTCAAATGAAAGGTTCCAGATACAAAGAGATCAACAGCAGGATCATAAATTAGGAAGACATGCAAAACTAGAACAGGCAGCTGCCTGTCGTCCAGATTTTATTTCTCAAAACTTGAACCTAATTGGAGTGAAGTCAAAGCCTGTGCGGAAAGAATTTTGGATTGTTTCCTTATTTACGACAGAATTTGATGCCTTCACTCACTACGTCAACTGGGGGGAAATGACAAAGTCCTAAAGTTCAGGTACAACAGTCATCTCAAGGACATGAACATAAGAGCACCTGCACGATACAATATGGTGTGTATTCTCCGTGTATACGGTATGTGTGATGAAATACCCATCATATAGTAGGCGATGGCTGAAAATATAAAGATGGGGATGATGCGGTTGGGGATGAGATCAGCAAAGATCTTGGACAGGAAGTAGACAGACGTGCGGTAATAGCCACTGGAGTTCTCGTGACTGCAACAAATATTAACAAAGAAACACGTTGACAAATACATACAAACATTGTGGCACAGTTGAAAACAATGTGATTGTAAAGGATTCACAGTATTCACTGACAATCTTTGAATTCATGACACAGTGTTGAGCCATCAATGTATATCATATGGCTCGTGCTCATCAACAAATCCCATGAAAAAAAACAATCAACAATGAATTGCACGTTCTTATCTGTGTGGCCGAGGTCTGATGCCGTAGAGCTCTTTTGTTTACCACAAACTGTTAAAAACACATAAATCAGACACGCTCATTCATTCATTACCACGAACATACAAACTGTAGTTTATTTTACTCAATCCCACACACACACCGTCCTGCTGCAATATAAACTGACTATAGCATCAAATGGGCCTGACAGCATCCCTCGTTGTTTACTAAAAAACATGTGCCAACCAGCTAACTGCAGCTAAAGGAGAGTGTTCCCGCCTGCTTCAAGACAGCCACCATCGTTCCTGTACCTAAAAAGTCTGCAGAGTCTAGTCTATATGTCTATAACCCTGTGGCACTCACCCCTATTCTGATGAAGTACTTTGAGAAACTGGTTCTCCAGCACATCAAAAACAACATCCCAACCAACCTGGACTATTACCAGTTTGCTTACAGAGCCAACGGATCCACGGCTCTCCTCTCAGCCCTCACTGGTGCTCAGAGAACAACCTACTGCTCAACGTCAGTAAAACCAAGGAGCTGATGGCATCCTAACTGGAAGCATTACAAAGTGGCATGGGATGTGCACGGCCCAGGACAGGATGGCTCATTAAAACCGCTCAAAACATCATTGGTACCCATCTACCGAATATCAGTAATATTGGTGAGAAGAGGAGCCTGCGAAGAGCGAAAGGGATTTTAACAACACCCACCCCAGCCACAACAAGTTCACCCAAGAGATACAGAAATATCAGTTTCCGTACCACCAGACTTTAAAACAGCTGTGAGACTCCTTCACTCATCCTCCACCCTCCTTTTGTGTGTTTTCTTATGTAGTAAAATGAAACTACAATCTGAATTTTGCTGAACCTAACGCATTGTTGGTTTTGGTCTTTTCACAAGTTTTGTTTACAATAAGAAAAATATATTTTTTAAAACAGCCTTATCCTTCAAATAGCATTGAAAAGAGAAATGTGATCCACAGAAACCTATCAAGACATTGAACATCTTCGTAGTCATGCGCCTTCTGCAGAAGTCTGCAGTTCAACACGTAGCTTTTATCTTTCACTCACATGAATATCGCTCTTTCATTGATAAAGAGTTCAACAGCAGAGAGATTCCCAAACACCATGTTGATGATAAGGAAGAAGAACGCTCCACTCCTGTCGTCCAGAGAGAGAGAGAGAGAGAGAGAGAGAGAGAGAGAGAGAGAGAGAGAGAGAGATATCTGATTGTCAATTAATCTGCTCTGACCTGGGTTTATCCCCTTAAACTTAAGGGTGGAATGGCATCATAAAAGTTTCCTCATCTTGACATCATGGCGACTTATCTCACTCATTTACTGTATTTCAAATTGCATACTTTTGAAAAGTGAATATTTTCTTTTTGTACTTTGACAGCCTAAGTCATAGTTCTCGCAGCCTCTTCTGATACAGAGGTATTCAAATGTGCTGTGTCACCACATTTTACTGTCTATGCCATGTAATGATGTCCAATGAAAACCTTCAATAAAGGAAACACCTTTCATATTATCTTCTATTTCCAATAAGTAGTTACGTTGTATTTTGGCCTTGAGATGGGCTGATTAAAGGGGGCACATGTACAGTAGGGCGAGTTTTCAGAAGTAAATTTAAACTAGCAGTGCTGTTATGCTGCAGGTTATGGTACTGTACCTGTTCTGTAAAGCCTCGGGCAGCGTCAAGGGCATTTGGTAATAAATGAGTCCCACCAGAATAGCAAAGAAGATGTTGAGAGCCAACTGGGCATACGAGGTCTGAGGGTTCCTCAGAGAGTTCAGAACTGTCCTACCACACACCACCCGCAACTGTCTCACACACACACACACACACACACACACACACACACACACACACACAC